AAAGAATGACATCAAATAAGATATATTGTATATAGTTGTTTTTGTAACTAAAATATATTGAAATATAATTCAAATATCCAAATCCGTTTTTTCTTATAATGTCGCTTTTCTTTTGAAGTTTCACTGGTCCAAGCTACAAAACTGCATTAGCTGCTGCTGCAATTGCAATTTTTTGATTTTGTAACGGTTCACCTTTCCCGTACGTCGCGGATCAAGGCTCGCCGGTGCCAGGATTCGGGAGAAGGGGGAAACTCCAACTTACTTTACCTCGGTATAAGCGGTTTAAACAATTATGTTTATTTAAGCGATTATCAAAGTTCAACACTGAGCTATATTATATGTACAATGCAAAATGCGGGAACGGTGCGTACAGAGTTTCGCGTGAGCAGTTGTTATTCACAATGCGACATGCAAGAGCGGTGCATACAGAAATTTGCGTACAGAGTTTCGCGTGTGGCTGGTGCGCGTAGAGCTCGGGAAGCGAGCGCGGCTCATGCGGACGTGTTCTGCAATCGCGGTGTTCGCATGTAAGTAAACTATGGTTATTCTAAGCTGGACGGAATAGATCTTAAATACTACGAGTGTCGCGTGGCCTTCGTTCGTAATTCCAACGGCCTGACTACCTTATCCTTAGAAGGACGGGGCGTCGGCACTTTCTGCGGCCTACCCCTAAGCCCGTATCAGACTACGCATTGAAGATTGAGATTAAAGATTGGAATTTGACCAAACAGGACAAAGAAATTTTAGTCTCTTTTGTTCTGATTAGTCAAATTCCAATCTTTAATCTTCAATCTTGCTTGTATCAGACTACGCATTGAAAATTGAAGATTGAAGATTAAAATTTGACTAATCAGAACAAAAGAGACTAAAATTTCTTTGTCCTGATTGGTCAAATTTCAATCTTGAATCTTGAATCTCAATTTTCAATGCGTAGTCTGATACGGGCTTTAGAGCGCGGAGACCAAAGCGGTCTTATGATATAAACAGGTCGCGATATACACAAGCGGTGTTAGAGTCCTTTAGGACGCGGAGACCAAAGCGGTTTTACGGTACAAACAGGTCGCGGTATATACAGAACGGTCTTACGGTATAACGCGATACGGACTTATCAACTAGCAGGAAGCGCCGTCCCAGCAACCGGGAAGCCCGGCCTAACTACGGAAAGCCCATAGCCTGGTGTAACGCGAGGTATCAGGATGCGCCGTCTCAGCAACCGAGAAGCCCGGCCTAACTATGGGAAGCCCGTAGCCTCGTATAACGCGGGGTATCAGGATGCGCCGTCCCAGCAACCGGGAAGCCCGGCCTAACTACGGAAAGCCCGTAGCCTGGTATAACGCGGGGGGGTATCAGGATGCGCCGTCCCGGCAACCGGGAAGCCCGGCCTAACTACGGGAAGCCCGTAGCCCGGTGTAACGCGAGGTATCAGGGTGCGCCGTCCCAGTAACCGGGAAGCCCGGCCTAACTACGGAAAGCCCGTAGCCTGGTACAACGCGAGAGTCGGTTCAGGATCCGGAGAGTTGTACGTGACAGGAATCGGGATCGGGAACTGGTAGCTCGCCGGAGCGCCTTATATACCGGTGGCCGGCCTCCCACACACGCGAGTCGGCGCGTGGTGGGGCGGCCCCACGGTGGGGCCGAGACACGGGTGTGGAAGTTTAGGGGCGCCATAGGCGCCGAGCCTCAGAATTGTGGGCGGCTGGTCGGTCCGCGAGGCTGGTAACGTATCGTTACAATTTTCAAAGTTTCAACATTATTTTTTTGAATCACTTGCTTACATCGCAGACAGCACAAAACATTCTCATCAGGATCATCCTGAATATGTCCAGGATGGTTTCAGGACATAGGATGTTTTAACCCAGACAGCACAAAACGTCCTCAGGATCATCCTGAATATGTTCAGAATGGTTCAGGATATTTGTAGGATGTTTTAAGATATTATTATAAATATATTTTATGAAAATTTAATATGCATACATGATTACTTTCGGTTATGTAGGCTATTTAATATAATTTAGAAATTTTAAGTATTGTAATAAGTATTAATGTCCTATAAATGTCCATTGGATAACCCCTGGATGTCTGTAGGATATCTGCCCTGTCTATTACCCAGACAGCACAAGGATGTCCTTAGGACGTCCAAAGGGCATCCAATATAATAGACAGGGCAAATATCCTACAGACATCCAGGGGTTATCCAATGGACATTTACAGGACATTAATACTTATTACAATACTTAAAATTTCTAAATTAAATTAAATAGCCTACATAACCGAAAGTAATCATGTATGCATATTAAATTTTCATAAAATATATTTATAATAATATCTTAAAACATCCTACAAATATCCTGAACCATCCTGGACATATTCAGGATGAACCTGAGGACATTTTGTGCTGTCTGGGTCACTATGTAGAAAAAGCAAAATCTCGCAAGCTTACAAATATATGTTTAATACTACAAACACAATAATGAGATATTAAAACAGTGACATACGCGAGGTTAGGATATCTGTCATATGTGCAGTAGGCAATGTATAAAAACGTTCTGTTAAAATATTTTTATTATTTATATATGGGTTTATTTTTTGTATATATATATTTTTCCTGTTGTTTGCTATCCGTAAACAATTAATAATTGTACTCTTTCGAAATTAAAATTCCACATATATCACGACATCGTGAGATTTTACGTGCAAAAGAGTACCGTACAATTATTAAATGTTTACAGACAATATATCATACATAAAACACAGATATACAACAAAAAAACCATATATAAATAAAAACATTCTAACAGGTCGTTTTTATATATTGCTTACTGCATACATGACAGATATCCTAACCTCATGTATGTCACTATTTTAATATCTTATTATCAGTTTTCAGTATCAAACATATTTGTAAGTTTACGAGATTTTGCTCTTCGTACAAAATGACATTGGGTAAGTATTCTTTGCTAATGTGATAGAACTTGGGTACTTTAGTAATGTGGGACAGTTCTTATTGTTAAATATAAATAATAAGACATTACAATTAAAAACGAGTATTTTCTGTTATATCTTCTTAGCTTATAATACAAGAGTATGTATATGTAACATAAGTCTAATAATTTTCAAGTCATTAATCAATTTCTTTTATTTAGAGTGAGATCTTTACGCTAGAAATAAATCATTTTTGGGTCTACGTGTGCTGGGATAACTATTGTACAAGTACAGTATGAGGTGATGTTTTTAAGTATTGTGTTTTCTGACTGTTCGTTTAACCTAAAGAAAGACTGAATTGTGATGATGACAATTATGCTGGTAAGATTGCTTTACAAGATCTTAATGTCACGCTACCTATTTATATTATATCATGTTTATTTTCATATTAAGCAGGCAAAAGTAATAACTCGGCACTAATTTGCAAACCAAGAATCCAGCTTGCATCGAATGTCTGGAGGGAATCCATTAACAAAGCACGAGAATCTTTTAAGCGAGAGTTCAATATTATAGTCTCCGCTAATAGAATCTTGTGATCTGTAATGGAATGATCAACGCTCATTCATTAACTTGCAGTGTCTGTTGAAGCAATAATGATTTTGTACTGTTGACGTGTTAGAAGATTGAATATGAAGATTGAGTTTGAAGATTGAACATTTATATCGCTATTCAGTTAGTGAATATATCAACGAAGACAGTGCTTTGGCATATTATATCCAAATATGGCATATTGTAATATTTATATTATTATACATATTATATATATCTCACAAAAGAAAAATCTTACAACATTTTGTTCTTAACCGATTTATCAGCATTACAATTACATTGCAGTGTACATATGAACACATTATTTTTCAGAGAAATAATCTTGTATCAATATGATAATTATATTTATAATAATTAAAAAATACTTGAAGGTTTACATATATGTACTATCACATATAATGCATATACATATGTTGAAATATGGAATTATTAGAAATATTAGAATAGATATATTTATATATTTGTGTATCGGTGTATTTCATATGGTGAACGAAAAATTTTACCGCACTCTTTCGCACTTGAAATCTTACGATGCCGTGACATACTTGAAATTTTAAGTGCGAAAGAATACGGTATAATTCTTCATTGTTCACCATACGAAATACACCGATATACAAATATATAAATATATCTATTCTAATATTTCTAATAATTCCATATTTCAACATATGTATATGCATTATGTGAGACAGTACATACATGTAAATCTTCAAGTATAATTATTACAATATAATTATCATATTGATACAAGATCATTCTTTGAAAAATAATGTATTTATATGTACACTGCAATGTAATTGTAAAATTGATAAATCGGTTAAAACAGAATGTTATAAGATTTTTCTTTTATGATATAGATAATATACATATATAATATATACATATATAATACATATATAATAATATATATATTACAATATGCCACATTTGCATATAATATGCCAAAGCACTGTCTTCGTTGATATATTCACTAACTGAATAGCGATATAAATGTTCAATCTTCAAACTCAATCTTCATATTCAATCTTCTAACACGTCAACAGTACAAAATCATTATTGCTTCAACAGACACTGCAAGTTGGTGAATGAGCGTTGATCATTCCATTACAGATCACAAGATTCTATTAGCGGAGACTATAATATTGAACTCTCGCTTAAAAGATTCTCGTGCTTTGTAAATGGATTCCCTCCAGACATTCGATGCAAGCTGGATTCTTGGTTTGCAAATTAGTGCCGAGTTATTACTTTTGCCTGCTTAATATGAAAATAAACATGATATAATATAAATAGGTAGCGTGACATTAAGATCTTGTAAAGCAATCTTACCAGCATAATTGTCATCATCACAATTCAGTCTTCCTTTAGGTTGAGTGAACAGTCAGTAAATACAATACTTAAAAACATTACCTCATACTGTAGTTGCACAATAGTTATCCTAGCATGCGTAGAAAAATGCATTATTTTGAATATGTGAAAATGTGCGCATCAAATTCAATTATTAATATTAAACGAAATTAATGTTAACAATTAATTGCACATGTATATGTCCTCTGGAAATCCAAAGGACATTCAATATAATAGACAGGGCAGATATCCAGATCCAGATCACTTTCGTATACACAATTTGCTGAAAATTTAAATGGCAAGCGTAATGTTAATTTTGATAAAAAAGAAATTGATTGATAATTTATATATTTAATTTATTGTTTTATTCTGCGTTTTGAATTCTGTTAAAGTTTTATTCAAGAAATATGCTATCCATAGCAAAATTTCAAGTTCCTATCGAATGGTCGCCGAAAACTCTTGGCGATATGTATCCTCATGATCTGCAATTGTATCAAAATGTTCCATTTGGAGAGATAATGCTAGACGAACTGCAAGAAATATGTGAAACACGGCTTAAAGGTTAATTGAATGTATTTCTCTCTCTCTCTCTCTCTCACAACATATATCTCATCTACTATTAAAATATATATCCATATAATTAATATATTAATATAATGTAATTTTCTCCAATATATGTGTGATTAATAGAAAAATATCTTTTTTATATGTTATAGTTCTTACTTTGGTAGAACGTATACATTTACAAAAATTAACAATGTCTGTGTCACAACGCAAAGTTGTTTTGGTTAAAGAATTGCACAAGGAAGGTATAAATGAATTCGCGAGGCTAATTAGTAGTCCTGGATGTAAATCACATACAGATGAGGATATACATATCAGAAGAAGAGATCATGTATCTCATTTTGTATTAAGATCTGTGGTTGCCTTCAATGCACTCAAAAAGCGCTGGTTTTTCAAGCAAGAAACAAGATTGTTCAAATGGAGATTTTCTTCGTTAAATAACGAAGGGATCGAGCAGTTTATGCGCATTAATAACTTTGATTTTACACCTGTGTGTTGGTTATCATCTGTTATATCATTTAAATTTGCTATTTTTTATTTATCTTGAGTGAATAGTATTCTGTTATTTTCAGATCAGTCAAAGTGAAAAAGAAGATATCAAGGAATATCTTCAAATGTCTTCTCCGCATGTTAATAACATTGATAGTACACAATTTTACAAAGTACCTTTCTTTCATGTAATTAGTTTAGTTAAGAAACGTAAAGTTTTCATTATGAATGGTGAAGCTTTTGTACCTGAAGGAGAAATAGCATTTGTATTTGTGCCATACTATAAGAATACTCTAATATCAAGTTTTGAAGTCAGTATCTGTGAAGTACAAAAATAATTATTACAAACTGTTAGCAACTATTATAATTTTCTCTGTTCTATATTATTATATTTTAGGCTGCACGTGAAGATAGAGCTAATTTATATAATGATGAAAGGTTCATTCATATTTTTGCCAATTTAGAAAATAATATTCATATTGAGAGTACTATACTAGTACAGGATCAAGAGGTACAAAAATATGTTTCACTTGATCAGTTGGATAAGGTAAATGCATATGCATTGTTAATCACTGATAGTTTTATCACTAATAGTGGAAAATTTTTGAATTTTACAACATGTCTTGTAATAATTAACATGTTAAACATTCTTATAAATGATGATTTTGCTATAGTTTTCAGAAACCTCTTATCCTCTCTGTATGAGAGTGCTTCACAAAGCACTAAGGAAGAATCATCATCTTACACATGGTGGTAGAGTACAGTACTGTTTGTTTCTGAAGGGTATAGGAATTTCTTTATCTGATGCAATGATTCTATGGAAGAATGAGTTCACAAAAATAATGGACGAGGCTATGTTTAACAAAGAGCACAGCTACCAAGTAAGATTTGTCTTTGGACAGGAGGGTAGTCGACGAGATTATCAGCCCTTTACATGTCTAAAAATTATGGAATCAATTGTTGGACCTAGAGATTATCACGGATGTCCTTTTAAACATATGCTGCAGGATATACTTGAAGATGAACTTATCAACTGTGGTTTTAATGCATTGGGTAAGTATGCACTAGATATTAATTTATATACAAGAATAATAGATTTTTATTTTATCTATTCTAATTAATATTTAAACCAGAGAGATCAACAATAATGAATTTGTCAAAGAATGGCCAATATTCTGCAGCATGTAACAAGTATTATGAAATTAAACATAATTGTTTTAATGACACTTTGTTTAAACATCCAAATGTATATTTTAATGAAAGTGTGAAACATCATACCTTCTATCGCTATCATGGTAAGATTCCATTATCTTATACATATCAAATAATTTATTACCATGTACAAAACTGAATGTTGCATTAAAATTAAATGTTTAGATCTGGGAACAGAAGATGCATATTAATTAACATACAAAATAAGAACATCTGAAGAAGCTGGAACTATTAGGACTATCGCAAATTATATTTCATATCGTTAACAGAGAAAAAGCAAATAGCAATTTTTATAAATCTCTAATTATAAATATATATAAATGCTGATTTATTTAAAACTAAAATATTATTATCTTGAGAATAATATTTCTGAAAACAGATAAGTGTTTCGATGAGTCTTTAGCAGTCTTTAAAAATTTTTTTTTTATTTCAATTTCAAATCTCAGATTATCTTCATCTTAATTATCATAATAAAAATGAACAATCATATAAACATTTATTAACAATAAAAAAATAGCAGTTTTTTTCAATTCATATATAGTTTATACTAGTTTTAGTTGATTTGATAGTTCATATATATTTAAATGGTTCTCAAATTTATGAAAAAACATGACAGTACAAAATGTGCATCAATACATTCATGCAATATTTTAGTTGAGACATACTTTAATAGTAAATTTTGTTTGTAATTAAATTGATTGAGTTTAAGAACTTGGTTAATCTAACGTATAACATGTGATCTTTTCTTAACAAAATAATAGGCTTAAAACAAAAAGATAGAAAACATTGCATCAAAAATATTGCCACGATATAACACAGTACAATTTACTATGTTCCATGACTTTTATTTTGTAGATTGCTGCGGCGATACGTAAGTACCGAATGTTATATGTATGTACATTTAGGTGATAGAGAAGTATTGTTATGTACAAGTACACTGAATTATAAACACTTAACACTTGTCATACCTTACACATTATTACCTTAGTCAATTCGTAACGTTGTACCGTTGTCTCGTTAAATGCTATTTTAAGCAAGGCTACATGATTGAAGAGTGCGAGAAATTTTTGGCACAGTTTGTTATCTTAATGAAAACAAGATCCAAAGAGAGTTTTCGCGTTAAACAAATTCTAAATATAGCTTATCAGCAAAGTACAGAAGAAATACTTATAATCCTCGTAATATTGTTTGAAACAGTCGTTATATGTCAAATATAAGTTTCTTCAATCTAAAATTTCGATGTCTGACGATGTCGAAATGATATGTGCAATGTGTAACATCAAGTCAATTCCGCAAAAATTCATCGTAAAACGAATGCGTGCGCAAAATTCAATTAATATCACGTTGCAGTCTATCAATTTAATATAACCAATATAATGGCTTCTCATACACATATACAATAGAGAAACCGTCATGCAATTTCAAAAGCGGGATGCATCATAAATTTAACAGCAATGGATGCAGCAATGATTTATGCAATGCGTATATTACAACTTTTTGTTAACAAAATTAAAATAGTTCTTATTTTTTACGTTCACGCGCATATGAACAGCCACCCCTGTATACATATTTAAGAAACTATAACTGTGTATTTTCCACTCTGAAAATGCAATGCACTCATTCATACATTATTTTTACACTCATATCCTCTTTTTCACAAACCTTTTATATAGAAATAAAATATGTTAGTGGGCACATCCATAAAATCATCATTTATAACAAACAGGTCAAATTATATAAAGTCTTGTATTCTTTTTATCATTTACGCGTATAAATATTGTTAAATATGTATATTAAAAATTTGCTACATATTTCACGATTATTTTACACAGAATTTGTTATTCTATCTCGATAATGACATAAGTTGCTTATATAACTCCTTTTCTTTTCTTTTTTAATGGAGACGGACTTCTCTGGTATCTGAAGAGCTAATAAGGATTTAATAAAGTGTGTGTGATCCTTAACGCTCCTCCCATTTATCAAATCATTCACCTTACAGGCAATGAAGATAAAACAGAAAAAAAAGGAAAATATAATATTGGATTAATATCGCATTCTTTATGAGGATGAGTCGTAGTGTCATTGTATAAAAATCTAAACTGACCTTAAATGTGTACTAAAAAATATTGCTTCTGTCAAGCGAGAGGGCCGATTTATCGGTGATGTTTCCAATAAAGGTTAACCTCTGTGCGCTCGGGATATACTTTCGTTGACGTCTCCACGACTCGTTAATTCGGATCGTCAGTCAGACCGAACATTGTTATTGTTGACAAAACGGGACATATTTTGCTGCTATACATCTGGAATCCATTTTTTTTTTTTTTTTTTTTTTTTTTTAATTTTTATTCGTTAAGAACTTTTTTTTTTTTTTTATAATAATTAAAACTACTAATTTTACCGAAAAAGCCATACGTTTCAACTTTTAGTTTGTAACAAGTTTTATATTTTTTATTTCAGTAATACACAATATTTTTGTAATAATTAAAACTACTGATTTTACCGAAAAAGTCGTACGTTTCAACTTTTAGTTTGTAACAAGTTTTATATTTTTTATTTCAGTAATACACAATATTTTTGTAATAATTAAAACTACTGATTTTACCGAAAAAGTCGTACGTTTCAACTTTTAGTTTGTAACAATGTGCAAACGCGCTTATTTTACCTCTAATCCTATGTCGACCTTTAACTGTTAAACGAAATATATAACCTCAGTTTCTCTTAGAAAAGTCACTGTAGCATCCAATCGGATTGCTCGAAGAGTGTAGGGCAAATACTAGCGTGCGTTTTTCGTTGATTGGTCAAACACTCGTGTGAAAGGGACCGAGTTAACAGGTTCTTTCTTTTTTTTTTTTTTTTTTTTTTTTTTTTTTTTTATATATTAACGATTAAATCGATAATATTACAGAATACGACAGGACACCTGCATGCTGGTATGTTTTTTTTTGTAAAATGTAAGTTTTCTACTGTCGTATTGTCGTAAGATTTCAATGCCGAAGGAAGAATCGGAAAAACAACGATTTATCGCATATATTTACTTTGCTTCATATAAATTCACACAATAAATCGCTTGTCAGCGAATATGGACCGACTTTCTTGCTGAGATTGAATGCTATACACACACACACACACACACACACACACACGCACACCCTGTTAATCACAAAATAATTCGTGCGCACATACACACACACACATCACTGATAGCAATTTATCCAGATTTACAATTGCCTGATGTAGCCTGATTACTGTGGTAAGTTCCAAGAATAACAGCGATCCCATGGTGATAATAAAAGAACCAGCCACAGTTTGCGTTTTAATTTAACCCTTACGTTAAGCGCGACCTAAAGCATCGATCGCGGAAGAATTCAGACGGATATCTCGTAAACGGTACTGTACATTCTTTCCTCGTTGGAACGTGAGATACGCAGACTGCTCGACGGCTCTCGTAAAATCTCCGTCCAGCCGCAGGATGGCACGGAGACGGAAAAACTGGGCTATACGGATATCTCGTAGTTCATGTCGTATACGCTTGCCCGATCCGGTGTCGGTGTCGTCGGTCTCTGCGACGATCTCGGATCATTAGGCGCCGAAACCATTTCCATCGAGTCAGTCATCTCGAGGGCTCTGACGAAGGACATCGGTCGACGCCGGGCGTCTCCCGATGAAGTCGGTGTGGTGGGTGTTGCCATCGTAGCCGCTTTCCGCTTGATCTGCGGCGACTGATGTGGCGGGAAGACTGGCACTCCACCTCTCACAGCTGGATGATACGCCGCTCTGGGTGCGTTTGTGGCATACTGCTGAGTTGTTGGGCTTGTGGGATTCGAGCGATAATAATCATAGGGCGGGGGTGGCCGTTGAGAGGGCGACTGATGAGACACACCGCTCATCGCTCCTCCACCAGCGGCAGTAGGATAACTGCCGGGCGAATTGTCTTTCCACATGTAAACACCGCGCTGCGGCGAACCCGCCAGTTCGCGTATGTTGTCGACCGTTGTATTATTGGTTCTCGAGTACGGATGATCAGTGCCCTGTCGCACAAGCTCGCTTTCCGAAAGGAAACGCCGCTGCGGACTGTAGCCGGTAACGACGGTACTGGCAACGCTTATTCCTTGTGTATTGTTTCCTTGTTGTATGTCGTAATACGTTGGCGCTTCGTTCACGCCTATGAAATCCGGCCGACGAACCTGCGTCGGTGTACCTGGGTTTGATCTGTAAATAGACACAGCGTATTTTAGGTTTCTCCGAGATCTCCTCAGAAACGCAAAATGCTTTCGAATAATCGACAAATGCACAGTACAGTGAACCAAGATGAATATGCGAGTGCTTGAGCATTGTAGCCATACAAATACGGCTCTGGCGAGACATACAGGAGAGAGAGCAGCGCATCATTCCTGTTAAAAAATTAGCATCTATTCAAGAAACATAAAAAATAGCGAATCTAGGAAATATATATATATATATATACATATATATATATATATATATATATATATATGTTTGTGTATGTCTATGTGGGAGTGCATGTATGTGTATAAAAGTATATATATTTTTATAACCATGTTTTTCTATATATACAAAGATATAATATATGCAAGAAAGCATAATTGTAAACTACGGTATGTCCTCGTAGGATGAAGTTCGTGTTTACCTGCAGTAGGTTGCAACATGATGGTAGAAAGCAGCTCCTTGCAGTTACCACCCCCTGCAGTGGGACACAAACTTATCTATATACCATATATCTTGTAGTATATACATGCAAAAACTAATCCTCTACAATATTATTGTAAGCTACATTGCGCAATTTTCCTTTTTGACACGTTCTTTCGTCATTCGGAAGGTGAGAATAATGGTGAACAGAAGAGGAGAAAGAAGAGCAAGAGTGAGGTGTTTGATAGTAAGGAACATAAGGACATTTTGACAAGACAGGCCGACATTGTGACTCTGTTCTTTATAGCTGAACCAGCTACACTAGAATTTCTTTTTCTCTCCACATTGGAAGGAGAAAGATAAACTCTGAATTAGTCAGCCAGTTCAGCTCAGTTCAGCTATAAAGGACAGACCCTGTATTAAAGGGTATAACAAAAAGGATATCATAAGAGGAATATCGTTCATTTTGTATATTGGCAGCGTGCTCAAGAGATGCAATGTAACTATTACTAGTGTGGCGCTTCCCTCTTGCTCTCTACATTGAGATAATTTTGTGCAATGTGAAAATCGCGACATATCGCGAAAATCGAAAGATATGTATATATATGTATAATTAAAAATATAGTATATCAGAAATTGTAATGCAAGTATTCAAATATTTTAAGAGCCGATCAAGTATAAGCACTCGATCAAAAAAACAATTTCGTTATTTTTGTATCACATGTAAATATATTTACATTACGATTAGAAGACATTTTTCCCAGCTTAATCGAGCTATATATATATATTTTTTGTTCTCTTTCAGATGTATAAAATATGATGTACCTTCGTATAGGACTGGATATGGCAAGTGGAGTAGGTACTCCAATAGCTTTGATGCGTTGTTGCATCGTCGGACTGGCGCCACCCGGACCTTGACTACGTTGGGGGACTGTTGCGGGCGAACCACTTGTCTCCGGTGACAACGGATCGGGTGTATGACTTCGAGATCCGTTCATCCCTCTGCAAATACGACGAGTAACGCGAATATCATGAAAGAGCGTTTTGCATGTCAATCACTCGTATTTATCACACGTACCTTGGCCTTGGATGTGGACTGCCTCTAGGATAGTGTATTGGATGGCGAAGCTGCGATGACGGAGGATGCCTGGGAGATTCATTGTTCTCCACAGGTGGCAGGAAGAAATTGCTTTTGGAACCGTGTCTTTGCAACGGGGGCGTAGGTTCACAGTCGGCGGACTGAGACGCCGTCGGTTCCATATCCGTATCCGATCCATCTCGTCCAGGAGATAACTGTAAAGAGGAAACCAACATGTTATCCATTTCATCCCAAAGGAAATGTTTCAAACAAGAGTATATTATAATATATACATTGTGATACATTACACATTTTCTATGGACATTAGAATCAGTTTATGGGATGGAGATGGGATATATGTAAACCATTGAAAATCAATAAGAACATTTCAGAACTCTGGATTGAGTGGAACTGATAGAGGAGGTATCATCGCTGTAACTCATACTCTACAGATATCATGAAAAAGATATATAAAAATGTTTGTATATTAATATGTTCGTATAATATAATAATTTTATAGTGAAACACCAAAATATAATACTAAGAAGCGCTAATACTATAAGAAACAATTTGCAAACAAGATTGCTCATAAGTACATTTATTAACAATACTAACACTATATTACTAGCCATGCTTAAATACATGCTTCAAAACTGCAATAAGCAGAAAAAAGTGCTCAGAATGTAAGCTTTTAAAATTTGTCCGTGTATTTGTAATTATATTAATAAATAATAAAAAAGTGATACGAGTCTTGATGATAATAGCTCAAGTCCAAGCATTCTGAATCAAGATTGTCTTGTACACAGAGTAAGAAGACAAGCAAAACTGCACTAGCTCTTACCTTATTGTAAGCATTTGAACTGGCATTTCTAACACCATTGCTGCTATCCATGTAGGTCTTTACCTGGTTCTCACTGCCTATAGTAGATATCTCTGATGCACAAGCTCCACGTCGCTTTCCTGAATATTTATCAGGCTTAAGTAAACTGCAAAACACAGAGAAAATGCATTATAACAAAGTAACTTTTGTACAAAGAATTAATTTTACAATACCTTGGCTCCTTGCAATACCTTGGGTATTGTGGTCCAAACTGTGTATAACAGCAATTGCGTAGACAACCACGTGAAAAAGGATTGTAGCCCCCATTAAATTTGCCTGTTACCTGTTCATTAGTGGTTCGCCCTCTGGAAACAAGGACTACATGAAAGCCAGTCAGTCCAAAGATTGGAATGAATAAGAGCACTACCACTCCCATGAGTACAAGTCTGTACTAAAGTTAAGGATCTCATAAAAATTGATGTTAGATTCACATACAATTTTTACCATTTTTTCTAAAATTATCTTTCATGTAAAGGATACGCAACAATAGTATTAACTTCACCCAGCTGCTGTTTATGTTCCAGTACATAATATAAACAAAGCCCGAATATACTGAGCATATGAAAACTGAGCGATAGAAGAAAAAAGAAGAAATATCTATAATTCCTCCTACCAATGCAGTTGTTCACCCATGGGCAGTGATGGTCAAATGTCTAAAAAAAATATATAATTTATTTAAACAAATCATTGATTTGTTTCTCAATAAATGTTAACAAAAGCGAAACATACGTACCTCAATACAATGATTACAGACACTGCAATGCGAGCAACGTGGAGGTCGATAAAATTTGCAGGTGACACACCACTTCATACGTACAGTAATGCCATTGATCTCGACG